ATCGTGCAATTTTCGCAGCAAAGACGCGGCCTTGAGTCGCATTGTTTGAATGCAAACAGACAGTGTGAGAATGATGCGAGGAGACAAGAGTTTTGGGAGCATGTGGCTCAGAGGTCTGTCCCTTTAAGCCCCCCTCCCCCCCCGCGTGATGCCTTACCGGGACCGGTTCAAAAGAAACTTCAAATCGATCTTTTCTCTTTGGTTTGTAATTAGCAGCTGACAGACGAAGCATCCCGGAGACAGAAGGGAGGGAGTGCGTAGCAAAGCCCCCCGGTGACTGATACCAACCCCCTCGTGCCACCCGGGCTCCTTCTGGTTTTGAGATTTTTCAGGTGAGTGATTCCCCCTTTCCCTTTGCAGGCCTCAGACCCGGGTCGTGCTGATCTCAGTTAAACTCTTAATAAGCCCCATTTCACGGCATGCAGCCAAGAGATTAGATCTGACAGGGCAGGCGTGGGCCACTTCTGAGACTACAGATCTGCGGGCTAAGCTCCGGATTGGAGGTTTTCCAAAGCCCCGGTGCAGCTCGTTGGGCGGAGGAGTGTGACTGCGTGAAATCCAGCACTCGGTATTGATCAGCCCACCTGCTGTATTTTCATCCGACGCTTCGCCGTCCCTCCCGGGGGACCTGGTCATGAGTGGAGGTTTTTGTGGAACCAGGTGACAGTTCCAACTTTCTCGCTGCCAGATGTCGGTGGAACTGCTGACCCGTGATCTACTCCCGACAGAGCACCCCCAGAGGTGCTGCAGCTGCATGTGAATCGTGTTCCTCGTGGAGCTGAAGACGTGCAGGCGGGTGGACTCAGCTCGCCGTGTGGCTCGGGGGCATCTCATTAGACTCCGAGCAGAAAACACATTATCCACAGCGGACCAAGGCCACCGAGGGACGATTTATATTACGAGTGAGGGCTAAATATCGGCGGATGATATTTTCGAGGCCCGGTCCACTCCTCCCTGGCATTACAGGGGAAATGTTATTTCTCTGGTTTGTTCCCTGAAGACAATTTTGTTGTTTGAGGAGTTGTAGTTTGTGATTTCGGGCTGTACATGCATTTGAATTAAATTGAATGCATTTGAAGTCGTCTTTTGCAGAATTTCTGAAAAGAAACCGACAAATGTATTGCTGCAAACGTAGAATGACTCCTACTGTCTTTCTTTCTGCACATGCATGAAACAGATGCACACTAACAGACCATCATCCACCGGGCAGTGAATGGAAGGCTCTCTGTTCCCCTCACCATGCACATGTTATTTATTCCCACTGTGTATGCTATTTAAGATTGTTGTTCTCGTCAACAGAGTGAATCATGGCCATGTTTCCTCCTGTGAGCCTTACTATAAAAAGCATCGTGTGGAAATATCAATATCGTGTCAATGTGGAACAGAAACTGCTTGACTCACAGTGAACAGCGTGTGCATGCTGCCCTCCTGAGGTCAACGGCTGTAACTCAGGAAGAGTTGGCTGGTAAAGTGATCTTTCTACAGGAGAAATATATAACTATCAACATAATATATTCCTGTTAATATGGGAATTCAACACTACACATATTACAAGCAAAATCATTAACCCTCATACAGTTTTTAATCTGTCTAAAAGGTGTACATATGATTAAGCGTAACTATTAAAGGAAGTTTAGAGATGAAGTTGCCTCTTTGTACTCAAGACACTAGCACACCTACCGTGGCCATGCTGACGCCTGCTGCTGCCATCATCATCATCATTATTTTAGATATTAATCATATTACATTACTCATAAACCGACATTACCCTCTCCTAAAATCTCTGTGCTCTCCCTCCCCACAGGCTTCTGTGGATGGTGGTTCTATGTGATGGTGGTTCTATCTGATGGTGGTTGCCCCTGCAGTGGTCCTGCTGTGCGCCTGGCTTACTACTCACAACTACTTTATTACTATAATTTCTGTCATAGGAATTGCATGTATTATACATTGTTCATTCTGTACACATGGCATCCATTGTAGTCTGTCCATCCCGGGAGTGGGATCCCTCCTCTGACGTTCTCCCTAAGGTTTCTGCCCTTTTTTCCCTCTTGTAAGGGTTTTTTCATTTTTTGGGGAGTTTTTCCTGTGTCGATGGTGGGTTTCGGGGCAGAGGATGTTGTATGTGTACAGACTGTAAAGCCCTCTGAGGCAAATTTGTAATTTGCGATAATGGGCTATACAAAATAAAATGACTTGACTTGACTTGACACTAAATTCCTCCTTATTTGCCAGACGCACAATAACATCATGCACAACATGTCAATTAGAGGGCTTTCTGATTCATGGCCCAATAAAGACGGATTATGGTCCGTGGTGGAGGAACTACAGTTGTACCAACTCTTCTTTTAAAAATGCCTTTCGTGATCAAATCCAGCTTTTTGCTTCATGATGTCCTAATAGATACTGTATATGTCTTGACTGAACATTAGCCACAAAATGAATTAAAGGTCACACACACACACACACACACACACACACACACACACACATACACACACTGCATGCACCGAATGCATTCGCTGGGATACAGCACTAATACTAAGGACATCGTCTGTGCTTACTTTGAAAAAACTGCGGGTGCAGTGGATCGAGAATGTCTTGAAATATACAGAATAGAATTTTCTGATTTTTCCTTTGGATTTGACAGAAATACTAAATAATATTTGTCGCTCGTCACTGGTAGCTTACGGCAATTGTGAATAATAACAGCAATTGTCCACTTTACGTTCAACGTGTGCATGTGTGCATATATTTAAATGTCCACTAGGTGGCAGACACGCGGATTGGAGAAAAGTGTCCTACCAAAACTCGGATTTAAACCCTTAATTCTAAGGGCCACGTGCTCGCTCAGAGTTACGTCCTGTGCGCCCTTTAACGCGTTAATTCAACCCTGCGTCGTCTGCTTTCGGTTTTTCAAACATTAAGTCCCGTTCTGTGACGTGGTTTACATTTTATTGTGACACAAAATACCGCCACGGAACCTTTCAAAAAAAAAAAACGCACTTCCGGTTTGGAGCGCCGCTTTTTTAAGATGCGCCAGGAGGGACAAATTTAAGCAGTTCGTCTCTCAAAATGGCGGACGAACCAACACGGCAGTGGAGCGACGAGCAGCTCAAGAGCGACGACTTGCCCAAGAAGGACATCATAAAGTTCATCCAGGACAATGCGGCGCACTCGGTAGGCGTCGCGCGCCCCTTCGGTTCCGACCCGCCGCGGCGCGCGACGCGCGGCCGCATCAGGACGGAGGCTGTTGTGCTGCAGCATCGTGCGCGGCACCGCGGGCTCGTGTTTTATTGCCCCACGGAGCCTCGCGCCGCGTTTCCTTTAAAAACAATATATTTTATAAACGCGTTTGTTTAAATTCGTCGTTAATTTGCACGGTTTGCACGTTTCTTGCCCTTTGCACGCAGATGCTGACTCTCTCCTCTTTTTGTTCTTTTTGCATTTTTTTATTTTTTTTTCTCCCTCCAGTTCCTCAACGAGCAGAAGCTGCTCGGAAACATCAAGAACGTCGCCAAAACCGCGAAGAAAGAACAACTGATCGCAGCCTACAATCATCTCTTTGAGAGCAAAGTAAGTGGTTCATTAACAAGGCTTCGCGGACGCGCGCCCCGCGTCCCCTACTGACCCGCGCGTGCGTCACTTGCAGAGGTTTTTAGGTACGGAACCGATTGAGGAAGTGACCGAGCAGGTTCGATCCGTGAAGCTTGAAGAAAAGCCCAAAGACGTCCCCGCGGAGGTTGTGGATGAGGTACTGGAGGCGGGGTTATTTATTTATTTATTCATTCATTATTATTATTATTTATTTCTTTGCTTCTGTAACTTTCTTCTAACCGGTTCTCAGGGTCCACCCAAGTACTTCAAGTCGGTGCTGAAGAAAGGAGACAAGGAGAACTTTCCAAAGAAAGGGGACAACGTGAGCTGCTGGTACACCGGCTCCTTGGAGGACGGAACCGTCTTCGACACCAATATTCCCACAAGTACGACGCGAATGCGCCCCCCGAAACGTCGCGCGCGGGGGTCGTCCCAGCGCTCCTCCGCTGTCGTGCGTGGAACAAACGTTCCCCGTCGTGTTTCCGTCTTCGGCTCTAAACGTGTTTTCTCCCTCTCTGCAGCGGCGAGAAAGAAGAAGCAGACCAAACCGTTGACCTTCAAAGTGGGCCTGGGCCGGGTCATCCGAGGGGTGAGCGACGCCCGTTTGTTCGCCACACACAAAATACTGCCGCGGAGCTCGTCCTCATCGCCCGTCTTTTACTCTCCACAGTGGGACGAGGGCATCATGACCATGAGCAAGGGCGAGACGTCCCGGCTGGAGATCGAGCCGGAGTGGGCCTACGGAAGGAAGGGCCTCCCCGACTCCAAGTATCCTTTCCTCTGGTCCCCATTGACATTTTAAATGAGCTTTAATTGTTTTCATTTTGCATCGACTGTCTCTTCCTTCACCTCGACTACTTCCAGAATCCCCCCCAACGCCAAGCTGATCTTCGAGGTTGAGCTGGTGGCTGTGGATTAGCCCGCCCGCCCCCCACCCGGTCTGCATGCACCGCAGTTTAAGAGAAGAAGATATTGAATTGCCTTGCTGTAAAGTTTGACGTTGACATGGATGTTTTGTTTAATTGTTCTGTTCCTACTTTCTCATTCACTGCGTTACAAGAAACGGGCAGTTATTACAGCGTTTTGGCCAACAGGGGATGGCTTGTCAATAATGTACATATGAAACACCCTGAAACCTTTTTCTCTGTAATTTCTTTTGCATCTGAAATGTAAATGATTAATAAACTGGTTTCAGAGACTAAGTGGTTTATTGTGCAGTTATTTTAAAACCAGTTGCAGTGGATCGAGTGTCTTAATAGTCAAAGAATTGATTTGACAAATATTAAATCATGCCATGACCGGAAAGGTTTCTGCTCAGATAAGTACCAATTAATGCAACTATGGAAAGGAAATGTGCCATTTAAACGTCATAAAATCCTATATGAATGAAGCGATACAAAATGCAGTTTTGTTCAAGCCAAATTTTATTCTGTACAGCAGGATAACATTTAACCTGGTAAAAACAGATGGATGGTGATCATGTTTCTCCTCTGGGGCACTTAGGAGTTGGCGTTGGGTCCCTTCTTCTTTCCGAAGGTGGGCACCACGTTCACAAAGCGCCTGTTGTACTGGATGCGGCGCTTGGCGCGGCCAGTCTTCTTTTTCTTCTTCTCCTGCTTTTCAACCTGAACAACAAGACAAGGGGCGATGCTTATTTCTCTGAAGCCATGATGCCTGCTTACCAGTTTATTTTAAAATACCTGATGTACACACAAAGGAAAGGCATGAAACCGTACCTTGGGTGTCTGTCCCCTCACTTTTCCAGCACGGGCCAGAGAGCCGTGAACCTTACCTTGATGGGGGGGGGGGGAGGAGGAAAGCGTTAATTGTGATTGTGTTTCCAGTCAAACTAAAGCCTCGGCGTGGCGCCCGTGTACCGACCTCCCAGCAGCCTGCCGGCTACGTCAAGGGTGCACAGCTCTGAGACACCACAGGATGCAAGTGTGGCATCATCCTCCAGCGGGCATCCGGCGAGCAGCAGCACCTGGTCCTCTACCAGGAGACCCTCCAGACCCTGGACATGAGCCTGAGACACACAAAGAATAAGCGTCATCATTCCCCTGAAGTACGTAAGCAGGTCTGATGGTCTTCACCCTGAAGTGATTGTAGATGCGCTTATCTCACGCGTCTCGTATCGCAAAACATTACGGACTTTCACCAAAACATGGAAATAGTTAATCTTACTATAGGAGAATAGGAAAATATGTGACAAAGTACTAAAATATTTAGATAATAATGTAACATACGTCATCAGCTATTAAAAAAAATGTATCTGCAAAATCTAAATTGTGGCTTACTTGAGTGTAGTACTTATGTACGTAGATAGTAAATATACCAGGTGATATTGGACCATTGTTGTCATTTAATCGCAGTCTTTCTGACTCTCCTTAATCCAGTTTGTGGACACGTTACCTTGATCTGTCCAACAGTCTCCTGTCCGGTCACCTCAAGGGTGTGAGTGTTCTGGGCACGCAAGAAGAGCTGCATCTTGATGCTGGAAGCAAAGACACGTTCATCGTTAGCATTCCACATGTTGCGGAAATCAGCTTGTGGGAGCAAACATTAGCCACCGGTCACCTCGCGCCGAGGCTGTGCCCGACGCCGTGAACCAACTTTAAAGTGGGAACACATTGAGGAAGTTGTATATAACGTAGTCACAGAGCGGGTAGATGAACATTGGAAAGCAACATGACGGGAGCTGCAGCAGACATGTCGCTCTCGTTAGCCTGCTAATGCTGCGTTAGCTTAACTAGCCGCATGGGGCACGCGTTCCATAAAGTCCCTCAAAAACACGTAAAATGTGAGTTAAGTGTTGGAATAAACTATAACGTACGATGAATGATTATATCGGTACTATATTTGTATACTAACCCATACCTGTGTTTCATATAACGAGCGTTTTTCTCTTAAACTGCACAGGCCTTACCTCGTTTGATGCTAGTCGTTCAACGCTAGGCATAGAAAGGGCTCGCTGAGGGCTGTCACTGCGCATGTGTAGAATTACGTCAGAAGAGGCGGAAGCACTAGCCACGCCCATCACGCCGTGGACGCTGGTTCGATTCCCTACGTATCAATTATTGATTTTTTTGTAGCGTTTTGTTAATCGACAAAAACTGGATTGATGCAATAAAACACCACGGAACTCCGTCCACAACGACGTTAAGACACAATCATTTGATTCTCCCAACCGGGTCATTATGAACCAGGCTCATTGGGATATTTTAATTTTCTACTTTGCGCCTCGTCTGTAGAAAAGCGGTCAGCTCATTATGTCACAGGGTCACTAACCAATGCAATACGTTAACTAGTAGATTAAAATGAGTGAAAAAAGTAAGCGGTCAGCTCGTTATGTCACCGAGTCACTGATGCAATACGTTAACTAGATTAAAATAAGTGCACTTTGCACAAATTATAAAAGAAAAATATTCTTGAATAACAAATATCTAAAAAGATCAGTTTTATTCAAGTAAATATTTTGAATCCTTAAGGAATTGAAGCATGACGAACCAACACCAACATTTCAGGATATCAATCGCTTTATTATGAAATCAAGTCAAAATTAAAAAAAAGGAACTCTTCATTTTCTCTATGGAAACATTAACCATGACATATTAAAAATCTTTCAGGTTGGTGAGCGAGACTCAGAGGGACATCACGGTTTACCTCCTTTACCAGTTCAAATCTTAAAGCGCAAAGAAAGAGACCGAACTAAGTCATACAATCTAATTAAAAAGCTTTAATCACAAGAAAAAGAAATAGATCTGCCTTCACAAATAACATGCATTAAAGAACCAAAAACAAGTAGCCCGTGTTGGAGATGAATTTAGCAATTCATTGCGTTTGTGTTTTTATTAAACATGGCTAATCAAGATGACTGTCATGGAGCCCTGTGTGTTATATTCAAACCAATTGGCTACAGAGTTGAATTCGCACACTTTAAACCAGAAAGAACAAACAGCTTCATTGGGTGACAATCTCCATGACAACATGTTAAGTAGCCCTGTTTAGACATTTTAGGCAGGTCAGAAAGGATGCTTTCCTCCAAGTCTCCATCTTAACGTCCGGATTTCATCCATCATGTTGGAGGAGGTGGGTAGTACTGGTTATACTGGGCATACTGGTTGTACTGTCCCCAGGAGTTTTGTCCCCAACCGCCATATTGCTGCTGAAAAGGCGGGAGGGAGAAAAAAGGTGAGAAATTTCAGTCTTTGGATGGTTGTTTTTAGACAAACTTGATGTAGGGGAACTTTTTTTTGCCGCTCAGTCAAACCCACCTGGTACCAGCTGTTGTAAGCAGCGCTGCTCGCGTTTGGGTCGGCCGCCGCAGAGACGTCACCCAAAGTACCGTCTTCCATGCGCTGTCTCTTGGCATCAGGCTCCTGGGAGCTGGAGACCAATGGTTTCAAGTTAATAAAATGCCTCCGTACGTAGTTCACAGAGAAATGAAGATTGTTGCACCGCTGATTGAGTGCCAGTCACTGATTTAATGACCAACTTCATTGCAGTAAAAGCACTAATCACCCGACCCTTTACGGTCTTTGAGTAACTCTCCATACAATAAAAAAAGAGTTCAGTGCCAATCATTCACAAATCGCAAAGCTCCATCAGATTAACTTCACATTGTACGGCGTATTGCTGATGATCCAAGGGAGCGCCGTGTTGACTATGAGGCAATGCGGACGCAAGACGTGTCCAATTTTATTAAACTTTGACTAAACAAGGGCGCGGCAGCTGTAATGTGACAGATGTACTGATTTTACAAAGCTAATTAATAAAACGCAGCCAGCTGAACCACCTTCACTTCTCTGGTCAACCCGAGTGGCTGTTTTTGTATTGTAGCTTTCCAGGGGAAGCGTTAGTGAAGGCCTGCCTTACTTTTCACGCTTCAACTGGGAATGTTGGTATTGGCGCAGGTTGAAGAAGCTTACTACTACTAAAAGACAGTTTGGGGGTAAAACAAATAACTTCTACAGAGTAGAAATCTGGCTCCTAACTCATCAGGGGTGAAAAGGGTGACAATACAAATACAGAAAGTACAAGCATATTTTGTAGAAGGTACAGAAGTGTGTTGATGTGTCCCCAGCCCTGTCCCATTATCCACCTGTCATACCCGTTCTCGGCCTTCCTCTTTGAGGATTCGCTTTCTTTCTGTAGCTTTTCGTTTTCCTCGTACGCGGCCACAAGCCTGAAAAGAAATAAAAACAAATTACTGTCAAAAAAATCTTTAAGAACCTCTACCATCCCAAAGTCTCAAAAAGGTCCCAATGACACTCACACATTGATGTCACTGCCAAAGTCCTCGAGGAACTCAACCTTGCGCTGGCAGAAGAGGAGGCGCGACTCAAGGGGCATCTGGCTCTGCAAGGCTCGGTCGAAACAGGCCAAGATCTCCGCCTCGTTCTGCGCCACGTCCCCACTGTACTCCAGCTCCAGCAGGTTAAGAAACAGCTTTGGACTCGTCTGTGAAGCCACGAAACTATTAGGTTTTGTCCCATAACCAGTGTAACACAGCCACTGGAGTGGTACGAACCTGTTACTCAGGGGGGTGATAAATGATTTTGTTAGTGGGTCAGACTGTAAACACTGTTGAACATTTCACCATCACCCGTGATGGTATAAATGAATAAATAAACAGGAGGCTTTAGTATACATACAACTTTTATTACACAGCTTTGTCCCCCCGGTCAAAACACTGAGTGAAATGGCACCGGATCACGGTCCTTGCTGACCAACTTCTGTCTGGATGCATCCGTTCTCACCTGGTCTCTCTCGATGGCATCCAGCAGCACTTTCCGGGCCTTGCTCAGACTTCTCTGCACCTTCATCATCTGCCTGGCCAGCTTCACAGCATAGAACGAGGTCTCTGTGACGTTCTTCGCGGACTCCATGGCCTCCCTCAACAGGCCCTCTGCCTCCTCCAAGTTCCCATGACGACGCTCAAGACTGACCCTCCGAAGACGAACCATGGCCAGACCCGGGACCACGTCCTCCAGCGACTTCAGGATGCTACGAGCCTCCTCCACATTACCTGGGCAAAGGAAAGCAGGATACGGTCAGGTGATATGCACATGCACCATCGCAGGTAATGTAGTGATAACCACAGAGAGACACAGAAGTCTCCTTGGTACTTTGAGTGGGTTCAATGCGCATGCCGTTTGAAAGACAAAACTCACCTTGCTGCTCCTCGAAAGCGGCCCACAGCAGATGGATGGCTGGCTTCCTGGGCAAATGGGTGGAACACGCCTTCTTGTAGACATGTCGAACACCATCAATGCTGTAGCCTTCTAGATATTTTGCATACTTCAGAGTGAAAAACAGTTTGAAGAGATGTAGGAGAAAAAGAACAGAGGAGAAGAAACAGAAGGGGGGCAAAAGAGACGACACATTTTAACCCTAAAATTTCAGTCAGCAAACGGAATTTCTTCATTGACAAGATCGTTTTTAGAAATTTTCTGTGTAAACCCATCAGCACCTTCATGGAACCAATTAGATAAGTTTCTGTAAGGTAGTGGGAGACGAAGAAGATGCAACGTAGTAGTTGGCAAATGCTGCAGTCAAATCTTGTGTGGCAAGCAGGCCATCCCCTAATACAACAGATACAGTCAAATATCAACGTTACACGCAAAGAGAGTGCAGGACGATTTACTGTGTCGACGTGATATCATCGATGGTGGGGGATGTGCAGGAAGGTAGCGGGAGTGAGAGAGAGGTCGAGGGCCACGTTACCTTTGTCCAGAACTCCTCGTAGAGCGCACAAGCGATGAGGCATCGTTCAAAGAGAACGACCACGCGTTCAGGGATCCCATTTTCAATTTCAAAGTCCAAGTACTCCTTCCAGTTGTTCAGCTGGGTCTTCTCCAAGGATTTTACGTGGAAGTATGGTCTCTTTATCTGTCAGAAAGCAAAGACAAATTAGCATCGTCAGTGAATGAAAAGGCATAAAGAAAACATGTGAACACTGATCAACACCGATGAGACACGTGAACGAGACACGTACCCCTTCTTCAAAGGCCCAGCGCTTGCTGACTTCATGTTCATTGTGGTTGAACACTTCCTGCCGAACCTCGATCACCTTGTGGCGCATGTTCTCGATCTCCGTCACTCTCTACATAAAGACAGACAAAAAAAAAAACAGACATGGTCAACACCCATGCGCAATTTACACAGACGACTTTTCTCCACTTGATGTAGAAACTGCAAGTCCTGCAGCCGAGGATTTACATCACCATGAGCTTGCCAGAGATAAGAAGCCTGGGAAGGGGGGGGGAGGAATGTATGCACCCTGCATATCAGCCACTGGGTGCAGGTGCCGGGGCCTCAGTTGATCCTTTTAGTTTTAGTGGATGCCAACTTGAATCCCCCCTTGGCATTTATTGGCCTGGCTGCTGACATAAAGACACCTCTTCACACCTGAACAAAGCTTTCCGGCTAATGGAGAACAGGCAAGCTCCTTCTAAACCCTGCAAGACGTGCCTTTGGAAATGTGTCTCCCATGCAGGAGGCAAGTAGAGGCATACCTTTGCAGGATCCACGAGATCATCCATGCCGGGCGGCAAGTCCTCCGAGGCAATGGGCGTCTCCTCAACCTCGCCAATCATCGCCAACAGGCTGGCTTTGGAGAGCTCGAGCCTCAGCTGCACGAACTCCTCTTCTGACAGGAAGTGCTTGGGGTTGTTGTTCTGCACGTGATCTTTGAATCTGCAAAGTAAAAATAATGAAGAAATTCAAATAAAAGATAGTTAAATGGCTAAATCCTGTACCTAAATTGCCCCTTTTATAATGTATTATTGTCATAGGATTTTAAAAGGCAGTAAGAGTGTGAAATGAGGTGTTGATAAGAGAGAAGCCCCTCTTATAAATACTCGTCACTGCTTACTAACTACAGACGAGTCTCTGAATCCTAAAAAAAGAGTTTGAGTTTTCTCTCTACCTCTGGAAGTGCTGGGAATACAGCTGGGTTGGGATGCCCAGGACGCGGTCATAGATGGCGGTGACGTTAGCCAGCTTCTCCTGCTCCGTCTCCCAGTTGATGTAGGACTCCCACAGACGATCAGAGCGGAAGTCTGTGCCTGCTGCGAGCACTGCGTGTTCATGGGCACTGAGGGGAGAAAAGAATATGAAAGATTGGATTCACTCCAATAAATTTAAGGAAACAAGAAGGGAGAGAGTCTATTAAATAAGGATATTTTTACTTACGCTCTGATGCGCCCCTCGGTCTCTGGGTCACTCAGGTCTGAGTTCTCTTTGATGTAGGTCAGGTAATGCAGCCACAGATCCACACTGAGAGGGATGGCCTGCAAGCCTCTTCTGTATACCTTAAGATTAAACACAAACAAGCCTGTAAACAGCTGGACTGTGGTTTTCTCTCTATTCATTGAACGCTAAAACAGACAGAAAATGTATGCATGTCCATATGGTATTTAGATTTACCTCTTCCGCAACCTGTATATTCTCATGCTTTTTCTCAATGTCAGCGTACTTCTTCCAGTAGCCATAGCAATAAGGATAACGTAGGAAGAAGGCATCGAATGCGCTTCTCACAGCTGTAAGATAATTCTGCAAGGGAAAGTAAACAAACATTTCCAGTTTAGTATAATAATCCATATTTTCATCTTTCATCTTAGCAATATACAAACATATCTGAATGATCTACATGTCTTATCTTACCTCTTGCTCCACAAACTGCAGCAAGTAAACCCAACCATTGAAGTCTTCTGGGTTGTCCTCACATTGTTTGAAGAGCTTTTCAAACTCACTTGGCTCTAAAGCAATAGCTTCTTCTGTTGCCTCCTTGGCTGGTTCTTCAATTTCCATGACATCCTCCGTCATCTGCAGAACCCCAGTCCCATCTGGAGGTGTAAAAAATAAATCATGAGGGTTCACCAAGTAGAGACGCAAGCATGGTATTGGAAGTAACTTTGGCTAGTATTAGTATATAGTATAAGTGCATGATTGCAAAGCAATGGAAAACATTTTGGAAAAAGACCAAATAATGAGAACTCTAACTTGATGCTAAACAACAACTAAGTCATTAGATTAACCACTTAAGGTGATTAAACGGGTGAAATAACTTTGCTTAGGTAAACCATACAAATATGGCCTTGAAAAGGATCACACAAAAAATACTTTATTGCCATAACCGCTATCCTGACCTGCTGGTTCAGGCGCAACAGTCATCTCCTGGCCTTCTGGCTCAGGTTCTCCAGGCTCCGGTCTGTATTCCGCTGGCGGTTGCGGCGGCTCTTCCTCTTCTGCAGGCTGTGGTGGAGGTGGTGGCTGCTCAACTTGGAAGAGCTGCGCACTGGCAATCTGAAACTGTTCCACAGCCTTCTCCACAGAACCCAGCTCGGGGGAACTCGTATGCTCGTTTGGTGACTGTTGTTGCAGTGGAGCATCCTGAGACGCATCAGAGTCCTCGGGTAAGATATTCGTGGTTGGTTCTGGAGCAACCTGGTCAGGGGACCAGTCAGCAGTTTGGCCTATAACAGGAAGGTCAGGAAGAAAGGCATCCCCATTGCTCTCCATGGCAGGGGACTCAGTGTCCAGCATTCCAGTGATGGGGGCGTCTGAAAGTTGTAGTTCTGTTGAAAAGCCGGATGGATCATTAGTAGAGCTTCAACATGAATCCATCAAATACTAGCACACATTTTTATAAATAACTTTGATAACTTGTAAACAGGACGGTTAATTGTTACATTTTTTCATTTAACGTTTAGACGGATAAGCGGTTGAAGATTGATTTAGACGCTAACGTCGGCTAACAAATTAACGTTAATAATTCAACGTGACGTTATCCCGCACACTTCCTTCTTCGTCAAATAACGCTACGTTCGTCTTAAACGCAACAGCAAATGTTAAACAGCTGAACATTTCGTCGAAATCGAATGTTAGCTTTAGCCCCGGTTGTCGTTTGAGGCCATGTTGCACACGGTAGAATCTTTGCCCAGTCAAAGTTCAGTCCGAAGTTGGGCCCTGAGCACCATCTATTTCCTGAGCAGGTTGAGCAGGCTTTACGTTGGACGTGAACTCCATTGCGATAAATTTGGTACACAAATGCGAATAATCTTACTAATTTCATCTCACTAGGATTGTATGTTGCGGTATTAACAAAGTTTACCAAACAGTTGTCGGTTATCTTAAAATTGCGTTGACCTTAGGCCAACTAGACAAACTACAACGTGCTACGCATTTGCCTCCGTCTCCAGGTCATAGTCGGCACCAACAGCGTCTCCACGTTAGCTAGCAAGCTAACGTTGGGCAATTTCCGTAGCTGACGTTACCTCTAACGGCTATGGGTGTTAGCTTGCCACGACAGAAGTCGCAGCGGACCAATTCATTGGCAAATGTACGTTTTTTTAATCTTACCCGCGTCTTCCATGAAACGTTGGTCGATCTTGTAAACTTGTGTGCGGCTCTCGAAGTCACTTAATTTAACCTACAATGGCCCGGCGCGCTTCGCCCACCATACTTATCTTAAGGGGGGGGACGTAGAGAGCTGCGCATGCGCACTACAAAGCCCGCCCATCCGTGCGGTGACGACGTTTCAAATAAAGTTTTCAAATGATTATAAACGCAGAAGAATGAAGGTTGAGTAATGAATGAGGGAGGTTGACTCATTTAACCGTACGAAGGCAGACAATGTTCACTCCTCGTGAGAATGATGTGTCCACATGGGGTTGTTCATTCGTTTACTAGATGAAGACAAACCTGCACATGCAATGTTGCATTTTCCACGTGGTAATAATTACACAGGAATTAAGTGGTTATTTTATACAGCGATGATGGGCAGCCCGCTTGCTACAGCGTGTAGCACTCTGACGTTACTTCCTGCCAACATCCACGTAATCATACTGGACCCTTTTCAGAATGAATGGTCGGACATGTCGGAACTACCCGGCTGTGACCCGCCCCCCGCCTTTTGACATCAGTAGGGCCACTAAATCCAGACATCTGTTACGTATGCACAGCCATGCATACAAATAATGTGGCAGACGTGATATACGAGGCGATTTAATTCATAATGGAAGCTCAAATGGTGTGCAGATCGGTGGCTGTGAAGCACGCATGCGAAATGGCGTATGGTGCTTTTAATGACAGTCGTACATTTTGATACTCAAGTGGCTACCCGTGACTTTTACTACGTAATACGTTTAGTGTGTTTAATTATTGTAAATTGATAACGTTATTATACATGTATTGAACAATGTGGTATAAGTAAAAGTATTTCAGAGATTTCAGAGATTTCATATGTCAGTATTACTGCTGATGCAGTTGGATCAAGTTTTCATTTTTAAGTGGTACACTGTTTAACACTTAGACCCCCCAGCTTAATTTTTTTACGCCATTGTTTAACTTCTCACTGTAATCTTGTACTTTAGTCAAGTGAGTTTTTATACAGTTTGATTAAAGTTTGACTAACTGTAAATACAACTAAAACACCCTCAAAGTGTCATCAGATTTCAATTAAAATATTGACAAATGCTGATTTTGCAGTGAACATGGAATCCCCTTTTTTTCCTAAATAATGGTTTTAAACTACTGAGAATCTCATCGAATAATGTGTTAATGTGGGACATCATCAGGTTTTCAGTAGTTGTCAATGTTTTGTTTTTTGCATTGACCAGTATCAAAACGAACAAACCAACACACAGACATTGCATCTGTGTGTAATCCAACTAAAAACACGCCTCTGCCGACTAAACCTGGACACGGTAGCTCTTTATTACCACTTATGGTGGCACTTAAATACAGCACTTGGTAGTTTGACTTTCTTGAAGAAATTGTACTTTCTTGATTCTTGTTGTTCGAGGTCTGTACCTTTGAATGGTTGAATGCACTTATTGTGAGTCGCTTTGGATAAAAGCCTCAGCTCATGGATGGATGGATGGATGGATAAATGTAAAAATGTAAATGTAATCAAAACAGCTTAGTAGCCTATACAATACATCAAAAACAAAATGTTGAATAATGTAGTAATAAACTCATACATTCATAAATGTGATTAATAATATAGTGGTATATGCATTATACTGTAGCTTACTATAATACTATTTATACAACGTAAAATATAAAAATATAAATACTATCTACCAACACAGAGTAATATTATACATACTTTTCGGGTCTTCAGATCTCGAGCTCAAAGGAGTCCTGAACCCAGCAGAGCGAGCGTAGAGGAAGTGGCGGCTGATCCGGGTCCGCACCTTTTCCGGTAACACAGCACCCTCCACCGCCGCGACTGAACAGCCGGGGAAGCGAGAGCCAGAGAGCGGCAAGAGAGGCGAGAAACGGCCGGGCGACTGGGTGATGGTTGCCGCAGACGTTGGTACGTACCCCGCTCTCTGGGTCCCTTGTGTTTATTTCTTGTATCCTCTGCAATGAGAAGCTGTTTTTAAATATATGTATATATATTTTTTAGCCGGATCCGAAGTTGTCCTCTGTGCCCCACTAACACCCCTCCCTTCCCTCTGCCGCTCGTGTGTCACGGGGGGGGTGGAGAAGAAAAGCTCCCATGAATCAATGACCTTTTGTTCGAACGCACCCCTCCACCCGACGGGATGTACCGGTGCTGCTCATACGGCCCGGGGAGCTGATATTTGGGTGGGTTTAAAAAAAAAAGAAAAAAGAAAAGAAGAAGAAGCCCCCCCCCCCCCCCCAAAAAAAACACCCCCACCGTGCGTTTGGAATCTACCGACTGGGATTGGCTGAAGGGCAATCGTGGCCGGCCGCGAGGAAGTGGGAACCCCGGGTTTGGTGGGACTGCGCCGGATTATTTTACAGTGTTTTTAAGAAGAAGAAGAAGAAGACAAATCTGTTGCAGCTTTTTTGTTGTTTTCATCAGAGTTGAGATGTGGATTTTAAAGCAAGTCTAGTTTGAAACCATATTTCCCAGTGAGAAGTCACACCGGCTGATTGCGCCTCTCCGCTGTCCGACGGCGCAAAAGTCACCGCCTTTTTCAAATGTGTTGACGTCACGCGGAGAGACGTCAAAGTTGCATCGAAGAACATTCTTTTTTTTTTGTTTGTTTTCTTTTCTTTTCCCCTCTCACGACAGTATTTATGCACAGCAAACACGATGGGGAAAATGATCTCAAAGATCTTTGGCAACAAGGAGATGAGAATATTGATGCTTGGACTTGATGCCGCGGGTAAAACCACCGTCCTGTACAAGCTGAAACTGGGACAGTCGGTCACCACCATCCCCACGGTCGGCTTCAACGTGGAGACCGTCACCTACAAGAACGTCAAGTTCAACGTGTGGGACGTCGGGGGACAGGACAAGATCCGCCCGCTCTGGAGACATTACTACACGGGCACCCAGGGCCTCATATTCGTGGTGGACTGCGCCGACAGGGACCGCATCGACGAGGCCAAGCAGGAGCTCCACCGGATCATCAACGACCGGGAGATGCGGGACGCCATCATCCTGATCTTCGCCAACAAGCAGGACCTCCCGGACGCCATGAAACCCCACGAGATCCAGGAGAAGCTCGGCCTGACCCGCATCAGGGACAGGAATTGGTACGTTCAGCCCTCGTGCGCCACCACGGGGGATGGACTCTACGAGGGCCTGACCTGGCTCACCTCTAATTACAAATCTTAATGTTGGTCCCCTCACCGGCCCCGGACACTTGGATGCGACAAAGAATATAGTCGCTGAGCACGAAAACAGGAGTTTGAGAAGAAGAAGAAGAAAAAAATGCAATCTGAAGCAATTAATTACCACAACCTCTCTGCTGAGTGTACGTCGAAGAGAGGAGCAATTATATCTTGTTTTTATTTTCCTTTTTTGATAACAATGACTTCAATATAACCCCAGATTTCATTTAAACAAGAGAAAATTTATGTTTTTTGGCTGGCTTTCTTCTGCTTTGGTTCACATTCTGTATAATCAGTACTGTTTAAACACACGATCCGCTCACTTTGGAGCTCTTCTTTTTGTTTTTCTCCTTTTTGTAATTCCTTTTCAGGGGACTTCGGGACACACATTTCTATGCTTTGCTCGTCCTCCGCATTCCCAGGACTCAGCCGCATATTGAAAGGACGGAAAACTCCGGGGCAAACCCTGTGTGTGGGACCCGGGTTACAGGTGCTCCCAAAAAAAACCAGGATGCTCCCAAAATCAGGGCACTTACTGCACCAGGAGGTATTCTCACCTGCTGAGTCTGCACTTTGGAAGAGGTGTGTGGGGAGGGAGGGGGGGGTCGGGGGTCACAACTAGCTTGTTGTGCACATTAAGATTGTCCGCGACTGACTTTTGGACCTTGAGCAAATGTTTACGAGTTACCCTGCTCTTCTTCTTCGTTCCTTCGTCATCACCACGGTCCTGCAGACCTGCGTCCAGTCTGTTCATAGTTCATCAATACTGCTCTGTTCTTTTTTTTTTTGTTTCCTTTTCTTCTTGCTATGCTGATGAAATAATAAAAAAAAACCATATATCCAGATCAGAACGGAAGTGACGCCTTTTCAATGAGCCGCCGCGCGGTTGAGAAGCTTTTGCTTCTGAGTGAGTCGTCGCTCGCCAAAAGAAGGAAGCGAGAGTTTCGGGAAGAAGGAAGGACGACCGGTCCGCAGCGGAGCGAGCCGACCCGACCCGACCCGACCCGGGAGCGTGAGTCACGGTGAATAAATGATGACGTCTCTGGTTTCAGAGGACAGATTGTCAGGTAAACTTTGGAGGCGTTTGGAACGTCTCGCAACAGCTCAAATTTAAAGAGGTGACGTGGAGTTTGGTGCACATCTGGAACCACGAAAGAGCTCAAGTCAACCAGCTTAAACTTTAAAAATAGGGAACGGAAGGACGCCGTACTAGTGGGGAAACGAGCGTGCCGTTAACAGTTGAATGGAAGTGACACATTTCTAACAGGATTCATGTCGTCATAACGATAAGAACCTGACTTTGTGGTGAACGTTTGTTCCTGAGAAGAGTAAATGTGGGTCACTGGGAACCCGAAGAGCTTCTGGGTGACTTGAAGCTATTCATGTTTAATTAGTTACGCTGCAGAGTCTCCGGCGTCCCCCGATGCGGCGAGGAGACGCCGCCGGAGGAGCATTCATTCGTCTGGGTTCGTGGCCGTGCATTAAGCGTCGACAGAAACCGGCGAGGTGCTCGTTCCTGCGCTCTTTGCAGTAAGAAACGTAACCATCGGCGGGATGTCGTCGCCGGGCGGCCCTAATGTGTCCCCGAAGCCACGGTCAGGAGAAGTCCCAGCCTCGGTGTTTGCTCACGTCGTGTTTGTTCTGTCGCTGCTGGATGTGAAGTTTAACCGGTGTGAAGGACGGAGTGGGGGTGGAGGAGGGGTGGAGGGGGGGTGAACTGAGACGAACCCATGAATGCACGAGGGCCGTTATCTCTGCTGAAACCGCTCGCTCTCACACTGCGTTTCATTGGGAGCCGAGGGGGGGCAGCGGGATCCTGTTTGCTCGGCGACTTGCTGACGCCTGACTCTTGTCTCTGGGACGGGGAAAGGAGGGGGGGAGGTAGTGAGGGTGGGGGAAGGGCAGCCGATGCTGACGTCGGGCTCACCTGTGGCCCTCAGTCAGGGGACGGTCACGTGGCTGTGGGGGTCACATGTGTCCCCGTACAGGCCGACTACGGAAGTGTTGGATTTGAATGAAAGCCCGAGCAGACCTGCTGAGGGGGGGGGGGGGTGTTCCAACAATACTTTCATTAGAAACTCCTCCCTCATGTGTTTACTCCCGCGTTCCCCTTCGATTTTTGATCTCGGTTGTTCCCAGAACTGACCTGGAAACTGTTCCGTTCAGGAAACTGTCCCCTACAGGCCACGACGGGGGCGGCCGGCGTCACCTCATGAACACGTGTTTATAAAGACCTGAAGCATGAAACACACTCGAACTGAACGACCTGCCTGCGGGGAAGTAGTCGCCTCTCTGCTTGTCTAGCTTCTGCAAAGTGCAAACACGCCTGCACCAACCGCCACGTGGCGACACCCCGGAGCCGCCGAACGAATGTGGCGTTGGAATACGGCCCTGACCGTTGCGTTGACCATTTGCTTAGCGGTGGTTCACCCTCTCGTACACTGCGTGATGACATTTTGACCCTTTTTGGTTTGTGACCAGATTGAACGAGCTGCAGCATCACGGAGACACCGCGAGCTTTGGGTTCACCGGTAACCCGTTGGCATGGAAATGGAACGTAACCGACACAAAGGCTGCGGCCGTCACACGTGCTGCTCAAATTGGAATCTGGTGAGCGGAGTGTTTCATCATCGCGGTGCCATAGTTTTTTTCCCCGCACTCTTCGCTGCCTTTCGAGTGAATGATTTGTCGTCACAGGCATTTCCTGTCTAACAACTTCCACCATTGGCACGCACACACACACACACACACACACACGCACACACACAAAGGCCCTTTGGGACGGGCTGGATGGGCCGGAGCCGCGGCTCAGAAAGGGTCCCGGTTGTCATGGAGCCCGTCCTTTTTTTTCGAACGGCGTCGTAAAGAGCAGAGTGACGTCCGGCCCGCGGGCGAGTCGTCGCACTGAGCGGCTCCCTCCGCCTCGCACAATGTGCTAATAATTACCGGCGGCCCGAGGCCCGTGTTTGCGCTTGGTGGAGAAGAGGCTTCAGACGGGAATCGACGGAGGCCTTTTTGTGTGTGTGTGTGTGTGTGTGTGTGTGTGAGGGAGGAGAGCAGGTGGGGGGAACTCGAGGGAAGCGTCTGCAGACGTTTAACACTGCTTTTTATTCACAATATAATATATATAAGATAATGTCATTGTTTGGGTGTGATCAGTTTCACACACAATGATGAAGCGTCAAGAACAGGAAGCAAGCACTGAGACGAATCTTACTTCTGCAGATAGAAACCACCTGATCACTGATACTGAAACTTTTATTTGGCTCCCAAAAGAAGATGATATATTCATCTGATATTCCATCAGAGCTTAAGCTAATCTGCTGTTTCTATTGAGCCATTTTAATAATAGCTTTGCTTAAGCAACACATCTGTTGATATTCCCGCTCGCATCTTGAAACGGGAACCTGCCTTTTTAAATCTGCGCACGTGTTGTTGCTCTGATGCTCCAGATTCTCTCGCCAATAACTGGTGATTACTTTGTAGATCTAATGGATCTTTATCAAAGTTCTGGTCTTTTGTTCCCCACGTACAAAATGTTTTACGTACCCTTCATACTAAATTGTATTTAATTTTAAAGAGGCCTTTCTGCAGCCTAACTGCATGAAAACGTGTTCAAAGTGACTCCGTGATGTGAATGTAACACATCTTGTCTGAGCGGCGGCGTGAACAACAGGAAGCTATACCCGAATTTCAAATTACAGAAGAGATAAAAGAGCTCAACTAATGGCTGTATTTTAAGTTGTGCTCTCATTCACGGCAGGAAGTGACATATGCTGCAACCTTCCTGTGTAACACATGGCCCACCACAGCGACAGATGGGCAGAAAAAGGAGATTAACAGCGCGCTACAAAAGACCCGTGTTCTTCGGTCTGGATGAAGACAACTGCAGGGTTAAAGTAAACCATGTGTCTGCTCCACGGCACCATAATTACCTGCGCTGACAAAACAGAGAAATTACACAGTCTTGATGTAAAACGTCTGGCTGCTTTTGACTTGAATTTGGCCCAGAAGAGCGGGAGGGACGTTATTTTTATCTTGGTAAATTCCCCTCTGTGACTTTTGGTCCTGATCCGTGAATCAACAAGTGTCACGATGCCTCTGCGAGTTCTTTTAAAAGCTGCTGTAACGAACCCCGAGCTGTTGAGCCCTTCACACGTCGGGCAATTATTAATAGGTCTGCCCGGGAATTATTGTCAGACTGAACAGGGAGCCAATTATTCAGAACGTCTCTCTCTCTCTCCTGTTGGCGACCTTCCAGCACAGGAATAGAGTCCGGCCACACAACTTTCATCCCTAAATAACACGCAACACGAAATCCCTAAATACCCCCCTCCTCCCCTCCTCCTCCAACGCCAGGTCCCATTAGTGACCCGTCTGAGGAGCCATCTGCTTCGGTGTGTGAGGCCCTCACGCCAGCAGCTGTGCGTGTAGCCCGGCTCAGGTACACGTCCCGGCAGGTTGTCCCGGCAGGTGCTCCGCGTGCCCAAAGCCAACGGGGGAAGAACGTCCCGGCTCACTGGTCTCTGTCTAGGAACGCTTTAGTATTCACGCCTCTGCGAAGGTTATTGAGAGCGTGGGATTAAGCTGCGGATGAAGGTTCGCTCAGTTGTTTTGTTTTTTTCCTCTTTCTACTGCGACGGGACGCCATCAATGATTCACTCACGATTGAAGCGCATAAAGTCTGCAGCTGTTAATCTTTCACGCTCCAGACTGCGATTGGGCTCCGCGGCTGTTTCTGCGAGGCCAGCGCGAATGACGTCGTTATCTCCTGCTCCTCACATGATCTCACATGATCTCACATGATCTCCCCTCGGATCCATTCGACAACATCGCGACGTGCGATCGACGGCCCTTAAAACGCGGTGCAACGTGGTCTTTGACTAAACTGCACATCCTGGATGGCACCGTGTACGCCGCCTCCCCCTCAAGCCATCACGCACACTGTAACCACCGGTTTATAATGTCATTCAATTAAAATGTTTTTGCAACAAACGTGCTTGTGTATATACAATTGGAGTTGTGTGCGCGCGCAGCCCGTCGTGTCCAGGAATGGGAATATGCTGAGGCCGATCTGCAGCGTCACGCCGCCGTCTGCCGCCTCCCCAACCAGACACACACAGCAGACGTTTGTGCACTCCTGCGTGTGTTTGGTGTCAAGGAGTCTTAGTCCTGCTACAAAACAGGGGAGGCCCGGGACGGCCAAATGACAGAAATACCTTTTCTTTGTGTGCTCTCGTCTCTATGGCAACATTGACAAAGACTCCGCAGCAGATGTCCGGGGCACCTCTAAGCCGTCTGGTGGGCCGGGCGGTCCCGACTGCCAATCCCTCACTTATCGCACCACATATCGGTTTCCACCGTTTTAAAGCGGCACCAGCTAAATCCAGATCGAGGAGGTCGGTCCGGAGGCGTCTTTGCATCCAGTGGCGCGCGGGCAATGTGGGTATAAATCGTGGGAACGACCCAGACGTCACATTCATCATGAAGCTGGTCCGATTGGTGAAACGTGCTCCGGGGGCCAAAATGCAAAAGCGTTAGAGGGGACCTTGCAAGTACACTAAAGGTCTGTTTTTCATTCGTGGCGCTCAGTGTTTTGTCGTCTCTGTTTGGGGGGTACCAGAGGATCCGCTGTCGTGAGGAACATTTGAGTGAAGCGTTTCTCCAGAAAGGTCATTGTTGGTGCACGATCTGTGATTTGCTCACCAAATATGGCTCCTAGATGACTCGTGTGACGCTGCGGTTGTTTGCTTCTACACTGCGGCATACAAAGGAGACCACACATCCAATCTGGCTGTTTGGATCCCTTATATTCATGAATGTCAAAGCAAGCTGCCATAAACGGACAATTAAAATGGAAAAGGACAGACTGGAGTGAACTACGGTGCAGCATTTTATTCATCCCAGCAGGCATTGTGGGAATAAATGCTGAAGCACAGTAGCAGCAGGTGAAAGCCAGAAGAGACCGTGACAGTTTGTCCGGCTGTCATTTAAACAAAGGCGGTGTCAATCAAAACTGCCATGTCCGATTTATTTTTCATTAATTACATCTGCTTCTCTTCTTCACCTCCTACTGCAACAGGATCTTGATGACAGAGCCGATGACATCATTGACAGACGCGCTCTGTATAAACAGTTTGCTGGCCTATTTATATCAGTGAGGCGAGCGAGAGAGACAGTTTATGAACAAAACGTCCAACCTGTGATCACAAAACTCTCCCCCGCTAAATATCCTTTAACGGGCCAAAGAATCCATTACACGGGGCGATGAGCTAAACGTCTAGTCTTTCAAAGCATTTTTTACATTGTGAATTCCTGGTTCGACTGGGTAAACACAAATGAAGGGGTGCAGCAAAAGTTTCCTGCGTGATGGAGGCCAAATATGTTTTAATGGTAAAATGATGCCAAACGTGGACAGGCACATGCCGCGAAGAAAAGTGGGAGCAGAGGAGAGAGCCCGAGAACATGCAAGGACAGCGAGTGAGCGAGGAGGGTGTGACCGTGATCCCAGAGTGGGAAAGAAACTCACTCACATCTGGTCCTTCCAGTTTCTACTTTGTATTTCAGAGGAAAAGGGTGTGAAAGGTTAAATGCCTGATACACACAGAGAGAACTGGCATTCTCTCTCCTAATGAGGTGAGTCAGAGCCCTCCGGTTGGTTGAATTGTTACTTGGTGGACTAGGCATTTCTAGATCAAAGGTGTGGTTGAATGAGTCATTGCCCCATTCAGCGCCACTAACAGTGTCTCTCTGTAGCGGGTGAGGGGCCGCGCCACCATTTCCATTTAGGATCTCATGTCGTACAGCACAGGTATAACGACCGAAGGGTTTGCACAGGCAAATGTTTCCAATGACAACGACATACCAGATAGCAAAGTCATGCAGGATGCCGCGCGGCGCCTCTGTGCTTTACCCCGCATGCAAGCCGCTACACGTTCGCACGCCCGCCAAGATCACATGGTAGGCCCGCCGTTCCAGTGGAACTACGGAGACACTGACACCCCGGCTCTGTGCTCTGAGCAGAAGGACGTGCAGCGGAGGCTTAGCTTGCACATCTCATTAAATAACGATGAACAGCAAAGGTCGGTTGTTGAGAGGAAAGTGTGTGTATCACCCCCCACCTCCATCCATCCCATTCATTCATATCGCCGGAGTCCAAAGTGTAGCCCCAATAATTTAAAAACACAGACGGGGTTAATGGTTCCCGGAACAGGTAGAACTAGAACTTTAGACACACAAATCAGCTAAAATAGTCAACTTCATTGACAAGAAAGTTTCACTTTGCAACTGAGGTGCACTGCCCCCATGTGGGCACAGATTTGTGAATAAGTTCACAGACACAACTGTGTGTGTGTGAGAGAGAGAGAGAGGGGGTGGGGGGGGGGGGTATGTTAGTCTATATCTGACTTCCCACTCCCACGTGCGATGCAGATGAGGGAGAAAAGAAGGCATCTCGTCTGGGGCGCAATGGCCATGGCCCACATCCGCGCTGCAACGTACAACCGCCCCCCCTCTCCTCCAAATCGTCTCATTACGTCAGATTCCGTAACGACCCGCCCGATCACAGCTGGAGGATTTCCACATGTACCACCGAACGGCCTGTTGTTAAACTTTAAATGTGCCAGAACTCCTCACACGTGCCAGGAGGTGTAAGCGGGCACTTCCTCTGGATTTTTGAAATGCCTCATTTTATTCTATCAGCGGGAGGCAGATTCCCGTCAGGGCCGCGTCCATTTCTTCTTCCACAGGAGGATCCGCGCACAGTGAATTTTGCTGATTGAATTATAAATAAACGTGTATTCCCCCAATCATTAGTGTGATTAATGACTTTGAAACATTTGTCTTTGCATTGTTTATTTCGTCAAGTATTTCTTAAATACATTTTGAACACCCCGCCCCCCCCCCCCTCTTACGAAACATGGTACGTCCCACTCCCTGCCGTTAGCCGTCGTTGTATCCAATGCTAGTGAACAGATATGTTGCGATACCAACTAGCTACACACCGGCATTAAAGCCACGAAAAGATGAGCCTTCACGGGATTAAAACAATAAAACAAACAACAGCAAGTCTGGAAAAACTTTGCCCAACAGTGCCCAAACTTTGGTAGACTACGACCCGAATCACTTCCCGTCAGTTTCGAGTGTGTTAGCATTGTTTCCCCTCAACACTATTTGCCGTCGGACGCGTTTCTTCTTCCCCTGGAGCGGTCCAGTCTGATGAATTCACCGAAAAAAGACGCAGATGATGATGTGCCCGTTAAAGACCCGGTGAAATACGGCGAATTGGTCATTTTGGGGTGAGTCTCTCTTCTTTGAAACCTACACATGTGCAGCGCGGAGACGCGCTCGAGCGACACATTAACGTCACAACGTTACATTGTAGCGAACGGCGGATACAGCAAAGGGACGACGCGCGAGTTCTCATTTAATCCACTGCTTTTATCCAACAGTCCCCTCTTATTGTTGTATCCCGCTTAAACAAATCCACCGCAACACATTCATTTTTTTTTTACCCCATTTATTGCACAATACCGTCGTTCGCCGCCCGTCTATGACTGTGTAGTAACGTCACAAACTAACTTTATGCCACAACTGCGCCGCCGTGCTGCTCCCGCGTCAACGTGTGTTTGAGGGTTAAAAGGTGCCTAAATAAATGTGTGTGTTTGTAGCCACAGCTCGGGCCACTATGTGCCCGCTTTTTTCATCAATGGTTGTAGTGTGTGTGTGGGAGGGGGGAGGGGGGGGGCGCTGGATTGTTCGGGCTGAAAATCCCAATGATGTCATACTATGCTGGATCTAAAAGTAGGACCGGCGAGGCTATCATCGTCTGAAAAATACATGAGGCTCGCTCGTATTACTCAGTCGTAACGAAGGAATAAAAAGCTCGCTGCCAGATGACCACCCGTGCAGTGAAAAGGAGGAGGCGGGGAGGAGGAAGCCCCCCCCCCCCCCATCCAGCAGGATGTGCTGATGACAGCCACCAGCTTCCACAGCGTAGAGCTCCTCACAGTGCAGAGGTCTGCAGGGAGCAGAAATGCCACCACACACACACACACAGAGTCCTATCCAGGCTCACACAGGCCTCCCTCTTGCCCCGCTGAGCTTCCTGTGTACGCCAAAGATAACTGACCTGATGGCCTGTCTCTTCCCCTCCGGCTGGACACGGGAGCGAGGAGGCCCCGGGCCCGCCTGCATCAGAATACTGATTAGTCGCCCTCGCCGTCATCTGAACGTTTGAACAGAGCAGCCCTTTTACATCCTCTGGAGGAGGAGGAGGAGGAGGGAATTGATCGTTTCACGTCCTTTACGAGGTTTTTTTCTCACTGCATGCAACTTGAACGCGGGGCGTGCTCTGCGGCGGCACTTTTACGCGTTTAAAAAGCTCTTGTATCAGATCATCTTTTAAAAAGTGTAGCGATTGAGCATTGGCGTGAGCTGGCAGGCCGGGATAGGTGTCCTCTCTGTGGTTATAAACAAGGCCGGAGGGGAAAATAGATAAATGGATATTGCTGCTATCATGTGAAGAACGTCACGTTGTCATTAGAGTGGCACACGATACACGGATAATGTCAATATTAGTTGCATAAGTGATCCCATGGCGCGTGTCAGGGTTCAGACCCACAGTCAGAACAGGCTGTTCTTTCTCCTGCTTCCTGTCACGTATCACATTTTCCCATCCTGTGCTGTGCATCCGTCCGGCCCGATGATCCCGTGGCCCCGTGAGGTCGACGCCGGCTCCCCTGCAGGCCGCGTGGCCTTTGCACTGGCCGCTCATTACCGCTGCCCCCGTCGACTCACTCGTAAACCCCTCACCCGTCGCTGCCCCTCCCCATCCCCCAGCACACCTCCTCGTCTCACCCCGTAACCCCTCTTTACGACGTCTCTGTCGCATTCCTGCGCCTGCCGCCCCGTCCCTTCCCCACCAGCCTCGCGGTGTCTTGCTGACTGCTGACTTCCGCAGAAGCGGACCCCCCCGGGTGACTTGCCCTCAGCCAAAATAAGCTCTGTGTCGAGGGGCAGAAGGAGTGAATATTTCATATTGCGCTTCATGACGTGCGCACATGCGTGATGCAGGCCTGGGCTGCCCGGGCAGCTCTCGTGGTGCTGCTCTTCCTCCGGCCTTTACACCCTCTTGACCCTCTCCGGTCAGCCGGGGTCCGGTTTAAACCGGCAGGCGGGCTCATGTTTGATCTGATCTGGCCTCAGGGTGGTTCCACGCAGAAAAACATTTTTGCTCCTGTGATTGAAGTGCAGCTCATTAACAATGCATAATGTCAACAAATCTCCTTCCCACACACACAGACGCACACAAACCTAACCACCAAAAAACATTTATACAATTTAGAATTCACTTCAAACATGTCAATAAAAACACCAACGCTAACTATAGTTAAATACAGTCAAACTTTTCAATTAATGGTATCAGACAATACGATAATTTATTTCAATGTTTGAGGTAAAAACAAGTATTCAATTTCTAATGATGTAAAATCCAAGGATATTTCATGCCTTCGAGAAGAAAAAAGAGCAGCATGTCGGCATTTCCGTTTCATGCAATAGCAACAAAATACATTTTCCGAATATCATAAATGCGCTTTTGCTGAATCTGGACCTGGAGCCTCCTGATCCGATCAAGCCTGAAGGCCACTAAACTCTGCTTTTGTCCCTCAAAGTCTTCTTGCCCGCTGGTGATTCTCCGAATAGTTTTTAATAAGGAAAATGCTCCGCTGATGAGCGAACAGACTGAAACCACCCCACCACCTTCTGTGTGAACTCAAACCGTGAAAGTGATGCTCGTCTCAGTTACTTTCATCAAAACGTGGACCGTGATATAAATCGTTTGATGTTTAATCTTTAAATTCTCACGGTTTCAATTAGTTATTACTCAAAAGAATAATCTGGATTGTAATGTCTGTTTCTATTAGCGAGTGCGAAGGCATTTTTTGTCTTTAGCGCGACGGTTTTCATGAAAATTACTCCGTCCTGCCGAAAATGCTTATTGTGTTGAAAAAAGAAAGAAGGAGATGATGAGCGAGCTCCGCGTCGGTACGTATGAGCATCAAGTAGAAGCTGGGTGAGTGAGATCAAGTAGTAGTTCACCAGTGGCCCGAGTGGGCTGCTTCTCTGAAGAAGGATGTCGCCATCAGTCCAGCTCTATTTACAGCCACTCCCCTCAGAAGTAACAGGCTCAGAACAACACAACCGTGTGTCCTCCCACCTTTGGGCTCGTCTGTTGTCCGTTGCATTCTGGTCGAGATGTTCTGACGTTCGGCTGTGACGCTCGCGCCGCCGCTCACGCTTCTTCTCCTCCTCTGCAGGTACAATGGCTCTCTACCCAGCGGAGACCGCGGGCGCAGGAAGAGCCGCTTCGCGCTGTACCGGCGGGCCAAGGCCAACGGGGTCAAACCCAGCGCCGTGCACATCCTCAACACGCCGCAGGACGGCAAGGTACTGTCTGTCCTGCACACGTGTGTGTGATTAACTCACACGTGGTGATGAAGTAAAATAGAAGCCAGTATTTCAAATCACAATCAGGCCATTGTCGCGTGCAGCGATGGATATTTGAGTAGCAGTGTTTTCCTGAAGCGTGCATGAACGGTGCTTGTCGGCGGTGTCGTTGCAGGCGGTGCACAGCAGGGGGCAGCACAGCATCTCTTTCACGCTGTCTCGCAACCAGACGGTGGTGGTGGAGTACTGCCATGACAACAGCACAGACATGTTCCAGGTAACCACCGAGGCAATCGAGAAAACGGGGTCAACATATTCCAGATTTGGGATCACGTGCAAGCTCGCTCCCAAAAATACGCCGTTATGTAACTGCATCAAAGGGACGTCGCTACAGTACGTTGATTATTTTGGTGCGTGACCAATGAGCATTGAGATGAAACTTGTGTGGAAAATCTCCAAGGGAGTCTATTTTTAAACACAAAGTTCTGGTCTTTTAATAGAATCACATATTTCTGCAAATGATGTTTCCTGCAAATGATGACGCATCTCACACACAATCACAGGGGAAACAATGTTCTTCGCGGCTGTAGAAAAACCCACTTTAAGTACACGTATAAAACTATTATTACTGGTGTACTTACAGCAATGCAAATTATCACTGTGAAGGACCTTTGTTCTGATGAAATGTACCCAGGAACAGCAGCGAGTCGTACTGAACACCCTCTCTGTGCTGCTCCCTGCAGATCGGACGCTCCACAGAGAGTCCCATTGACTTTGTGGTAACGGACACCTCCGGGGGGGGGAAGGAGGGGGAGGACCCCTCCATCGCTCCCAGCACCATCTCGCGTTTTGCCTGCCGGGTGGTGTGTGAACGCAGCCCGCCTTACACCGCGCGAATCTACGCCGCCGGCTTTGACTCCTCCAAAAACATCTTCTTAGGGGTGAGCGGGCCGATGAGCCGAGTAACACGCGTGTTTGTGTCCGTGTGATCCCGAGTTACTCATGAACCTCGTGTCTCAGGAGAAAGCGACCAAATGGAAAAACCCCGATGGGCACATGGACGGGCTGACCACCAACGGGGTGCTGGTGATGCACCCGGAGGGGTTCCCCGAGGACCCCAAGCAGGGACTGTGGAGGGAGATCTCCGTCTGTGGAGACGTCTACGCCCTGCGGGAGACGCGCTCCGGCCCCACCCGGGGCAAACTGGTGAGTCGCCGGCGTCCGCCGAGCACCAACCGGGGCTGCGAGTTCGCAAAGTAACGCGTCCGTCTGTGTCGAACCTGGACAGGCGGAGGGGGAGAGCAGCGCGCTGCGCGACGGTTCCCTGGTCGACCTGTGCGGCGCCACCCTGCTGTGGCGCACGGGCGAGGGGCTCATGCGCTCGCCCACCCTGCGCCACCTGGAGGCACTTCGCCAGGAGCTCAACGCGTCCCGGCCCCAGTGCCCGGTCGGCCTCAGCACGCTGGCCTTCCCCAGCCTGCCCCGCAGCCACAGGTCAGTTTCAAACGTACCGCGTCGCTCTCCGTCGGGCTGTTCCTCTTCATTCACCTGCATCGGCGCTTCCTGCAATGCCGCTGTCCATGTGTCCCCCCAGCCTCGAGGAGCGTCAGCCCTGGGTCTACCTCACCTGCGGCCACGTCCACGGGCGGCACGACTGGGGCCAGAGGTCCGAGGGCGTGGCGCAGCCGCGAGAGGGCGAGGGCTCGACCACCCGCCGAGAATGCCCGCTGTGCCGCAGCGTGGGCCCCTACGTGCCCCTGTGGCTGGGCTGCGAGCCGGCCGTGTACGTGGACGCCGGAGCTCCCACTCACGCCTTTGTGCCGTGCGGCCACGTCTGCTCGGAGAGGACAGCCAGGTACTGGGCGGAGACGCCGCTCCCGCACGGGACGCACGCCTTCAGGGCCGTCTGCCCCTTCTGCTCCGCCGCCCTAAGCACCCCCGGCTGGACGCGGCTCATCTTCCAGGGCCCCATCGACTAGCCGCCCCGCCCCTCGGCAACCACCGTCCCAGCAACGGCAGGATGCCCGGGCTACGTCCACCTCGCAGCCGTTGGTCGGTGTTCGGTGTGACCGATCAGGTGGTCGTTTTCGCGTAGTGACAGCAGGTGTTCATCAAACGCCGTCCTTCGTTGTTCCTGGATGTAGGCCGCAGCTTAGTCCCCGCCCCCGTTTATCCCTCAGGGCTGGTATACGATGTAGAGAAAAAACAATCATCAATCATCAATCGTCACTCCGACAGTATTTAGTGTAACTGGAAGATTCTGCCGTTTTTTATTCCAACGAGAAAGGGTCCTCACAAGTAAAACCAATTCACACACAGAAGCTTAACCGATGCTGCTTGAACCTTTTTGAAAAGCAATTATTTTCACTCCATTATCAAACGACAATCATATTAAGCCTTTTTTTCCCCTTCCTCGAGAACCCACTTTTGAATTGACAAGTACTTTTTTGCACAGAAAGAAAGAGAATGGCCTTTTTTTACTCAGTTCATCTGCGAGGCCTTCATCTGGCCCGGAGGCGCCCCATGTGTCCTTTAACTCGGGTGAAAACGCCGCCTTTTGGCACTTTCTCGGCCCCGAATGGCCGACCCTATCTTCATTGTTAGCCCGCATCTCATCCAAAAGTATTACCACGTCGGGCCTCAGATTTAGGCAACAACCAACAACAAAAACACCGTCACTTTTCACACTGGGCGTTTCTAAAGACGCTCCCGGAGCGCCCCGGCTGGTGGCGCGTCCACACTGAATTCAGGGGTTCCCACACGCAGCCCCTTGTGTCGTACGAAGGTTGGAATAAAAACCCTGCAGACTCTTGGTGATGTAGAGAGAGCGCTGTGTCAAACAGACCCCCCCTCCCTCCCCCCCCTAAAGGCCCAATCTTACCCTGAGCATCAAGCGGCCGGAGGATAAACGCCGGCCGGGGCACGAAAACCCGGAATGAGATCCACTTCATAACTCTCTGCAGCAATAATAGCAGTTCCACAGATAAGCTCGACGTTGCTACATCGGCTCAAATGGTTTCCAGGTTAAGGGCTCAACCAGAGGCCTGTTCAGTGTCACCATTTGTTTTATTTCCAGATGTGTGTGTGTGTGTGTGTGTGTGTGTGACATGTAACCAAAGCACTAGAATTAAAAGATGAGCAGCTGAATCGGCGATGAAACCCCCCGACATTTAAATACTCTTTTCAGTCGCATTAATAACCTGAACACGCTCGCGCTGCCGAAGAACACATCAGCCAATCGCATCGCTGCTGTTACTCAGACACACTTCTGGTTGCTGAATTATGCTCAACGGGGTCCGTGTTAGAATGACGTCGCATAACCTCACAAGATAAACTTTTTGTTGTTGTTTCAAAGAAAACTATTTTGTTAGGAAAGGGGGGCGGGAGGGATTTATTTGGGGAAGCGGGAGGATTTCCTTTAGATGTTCAGTGTTAAAAAAACAACAACTATTTTTCTAACTGATAATCGGTTGTAGTTGACCGTTACTCAGTGTAAGCAAGTTCCGTATGTTTGTGAATTCTTGGCGTGGTCGATGTAGGACGGCGTGTGAGTGACAGAACACTGTGTCCGACAAACACACACTTACCACACCGCTACGGTGAAACATTGCCCAGACAATGAATGTAGCCAAATACTCGGGCTATATTTAGCCTCCCCGGTGCTCATATTGAATGGTCTATATTGTGATACTATTTTTGTAACTGAATATTATGGTGTTTCAATAGTAGCCTCGAGTGTGGAAGACGTGTAATTGGTATCTCACATGGGAACAGTGTCTAGCTTGCATGTGCTGAACGTACACACCCGGTACGTTCACTACTCGTACACGTACTCAAAGACTTTGCACGCCGAGGGCGTTGAGCCGCAGACCAAGACGTCTTCCGAGCCCTCAGCCGCTGAAACGGCGGCGTTTCAGTTCTGTTTTTGTTTTTAGTTTTAGAAGACCTCTCTAAAAAGAAAGAGAACAAACATACGTGTAAAACACAATTATCCTCATACTTGATAGATGCGTCCAGTCCCACGCTGTGGTGTTGATAATTACCGTGGCTCAGGATTACAGATGTAGGCTTCACAGCTGCAGACTCATAGAAGACACTCAAAAAACGCTTCACAACCGCAGACACACACAAACGTTTGCGTGGGAGCCTCGTCCGATGTAAATGCCAAATGTTAAAGGAGCGCGGACGGTCGGGTGGCCTCAGCTCAGCCGCACTTAGTTAAAGGGGCACAAGCGGGCTGTGAGAACATCTGGATCAGCCGCACGCCAAATCCAGTCCGACCTGCTTCTGGAGGACAAATAAAAAGACATAGAACAATTAGCGTCACACTGCTCGGCATGTGGACGGACGAACGGCTGCAGCACCCTCAATGGCTTCTAGTTTACGAGCTGACATATTTATTCTCTTTTTGCTTTGTTTCAACCCTCTTCGGGTTACAGGTGTCCATATGCAAGTTTCTCTCCCTTGTTTTTTAGATTTAAATATTGGTGAATTTTTCAGATACAGTATTTTGGGTTGTTTTTAAAACCACTAGTAACATTAGCAGTCTTTTTAGCTTTGTTCTTTGACTTTTTTTTCTTTAAATGTTTCAATTGAGCTTCACTCCAGATGGCAAAACCTCAACCTCCTCAACTAGTTAACTCATCTTTCTCTGGGTGGGTGAATAGCTGACGCGTATACAGCGCAAAACCTCACAGTCAATAATGCATTCCTTTTTAATACATCTACGTTGTGTACAGTCATTTTGTATTATTTTATATCATATTCTGTAATCGTCCGGTGCACAGACAATCTCTATACACATGTCAATAAACCTGTTGAAAAGTGGAGCCGTCTCTGTTCTTCTGGCTGTCCTAATGCGCCGATTACACCTGGTTTGTATGTATGAGGAGTGGAAGTCGTATGTGCCGCTGCCAGCAGAGGGCGACCTCCACAAGCACTGAATGTGACAGCAGGGACACACACACACACACACACACACACACACACGGGATGATAAGGTTGCTTTGAGTTGCATCACCTCTTTAAAATAATCCAGCGTTTTAATGAGCAGTTTTGGCAGTTCGTCGTGTTCATCACCGCGCAAATGTGATAAGACGCTTCGGATTCACACAACGGCAGATTCAAAGCAGCAGTTGAAAAGATTTAAGTTTGTTTCTTTGAAAAGTGTTCAGGGTTTCTGCTGAAAGACCCCTGGAGACCTGCAGAGAGTGGCGTTACTCAGAGGTTTGTTCAGGAACGATTCTCCCGATGAACCACGGGAAAGAGGCTTTTTCCCTTTTCCTTCAAAGATTACAAAACCCTTTTTCACGCTCGTGTCAGTGAGTTCAGCTCATTTACTCCAAACACGGGTGAGAGAAAATCAGAAGCTCAAACTGTTTGAATTCTAATTTATTTTCAGATGCTCTGTAATTTTCGTACAGTAAGTTGTAAAAAAGGGACACGCGTCCTTTCTTGTTGGTGAACTAACGATTTTTTATTACAAAAGTGGCTGAATTCTTGGATGTGAATCGCAATCATTTTCAATGAACGCAAATAGGGAAACTTTACTCTCCAAGCCTGAACACTTTAGCTCTGACGTATATTATCTTATATCTTTAAGAACATCCCACGGTAAAACATGCAGATATCTAGTGAGTTTGACAAACGATCTTTACTGCGAGGAAGAAGAAGAGAACCCGTTCTCAGTGATCTAAGCAAACAGAAGCGACTCAGGTGGCGAGTAACACATTTTTTAGCAAACCAAAACGTTCACACTGAAAGCGTTAAAGCTGTAACTTATTTTACAAGTCGCCCCCTGGTGGCCATTAGGAAGAATGCAAGTTTACGGCGCTTCAGCTTCCAGACCCAACTGTGACCAGCAGTTTATTTTCAGTATTTTCATTACTTGAGGAGGCAACAGTCCAAATCCAAACTTTTTATTGATATAGTGTATTTGTTTTAAACGCAATAGGCTCCTAAATTAATTTGGTTTTAATCATATTAGTAAATGCTGCACACAGAGAAAAGCGGGATCCAGGGCTAATGGAGGCCCAGCAGCTTTTTCCTACCCCGAGGCTCCCTTGCAAGTCGTGCTGTGTGTGTGTGTGTGTGTGTGTGTGTGTGTGTGTGTGTGTGTGTGTGTGTGTGTGTGTGTGTCATGGGACCTAGCATAGATGATGGAGGCCGGGTTTAGCAATACAGTTCAATTCTCTGCGGAGGGATTTGTAGGTTTTGATCCCAGCTAATTAATGTGAAACCCTCAAAGGGGAGGTATCAGTGGCTGGGAAGTCTGAAGGGGAATGCGTGTGTGTGTGTGTGTGTGTGTGTGTGAGTGCGCTTGGATGCATGCAGACACGGTGAAAAGGCATCTGAGTCATGAGTGTGTGTGATTAATAATCAACCACTCCGATATCTTCCTCTCTTAGGACTCACTCTGGAGGTAACGGCGGCGTTTGTTCCATTGTTTCATCAATCCACCCATTAACTACAAACACTGGGAAACTTTAATTAAGCCGGGGGCCACAGACGATTAATTAACTTTAAGACTTTCACTTCTTTTTCTTCCCTTCTACACATTTCACTAAGTCAGCGAGCCAAAGAAAGTGTTAATTTAGCCACATAATTTACAAATCCAATTAAAGCCAATATTAAGGCATCACAAGCTGCTGTCCTGTGTTCTCCAGACTTATACGACTATTCTCTTTTGTGCCTCGACTGGCAGAGAATGCCGGCACACGTAAGCTGAGCAGAATGTATTAAACCCGGGTTAAGAGTTGTAATAAGTTTGATTATTTTATGGAGTTTATTATGCTGTGTTATCCTGTTAGGGAGGCGATGTTGTGGCGGTGGGTCGGTAATCCAGGCGGTCTCATCAAGTGGTCTCCCACCCTGCCGCCGCCCGGGCCCGACCTGCATGAGAACACGACATCTGCCGCCAACGCCCGTCCCAGTGCTCACATGTTCCCTCACTGCTGACGATGCTTCACCTCCCACCTCCACCCACTGCAGTGTCATCCGCTCACTTTTATATATGCATTATTCAATTAAGATTAAGATTTCACATACAGGATTGGAGCAAATAAAAAAAACTATATATATATTCATATACATTTATATAAAGCTCTATTTATTTTATATATATATATATATATATATATATATATATGTATATATATATATATAGCGTATTTTGGGGCAAAATAAAGGCCTACTTTATGATATTGCAAATAAATGCAAAATATGTAGCCCCACATAATAATAAAAGTCTATTTAAATGCCATAAACCGTGTCCCAGAGTTACGCTTTACATCAGATGAAGCTCTTTTAAATGTGTAAAACCTCCTACAGCATAATAGTTACGTTTCTGTTTCAAACGTTCTTGGAGACGTGCACGTGGACAGCAGGTAGTTGTACCGGTAGTT